TGGTACCGTCGTATAATTATTTTTCTATATACGCCCGTAATAGTCTACTGTTGAACTAAGGAGTCCCCATATGTACACTGTACACTGTAGTCAATTGAAATATTTACTTTTTAAGAGTTGACAAAACAAACTTTTATGAGGAATTGTATGAGAATATAGTGTAGTGACGTTATAGTATTATATATATTCAAATTATCATTTTATTTGTATGTTTTACAAACCAAAAATCAAATTTTTTTTATAAGTCAGTTGAAATATTTACTTTTTAAGAGTTGTCGAACTTTTATGCGGTATGAGAATATAGTGTAATGACGGTATAGTTGTTGAATATAAATATTCCAATTATCATTTTATATGTATATTTTACAAACCAAAAATCGATTTTTTTAAAAATAATTCCAAATTATTTGGGGCACTACTTCTACCGCTTATGTACAATACTGGTAGGTTACCTTTCGAATTCGAAATTCAAGACTCGGAAATAAAATTCTTTTATTTCCGAGTCTAGAAGTCCATCTAGGGAGGTCATACTAATGTATAGAGAGTCTATATATATATATAGCATTTTTTATAGGATAAGGGTGACAAACGAGTACACATTCCACCTTTTGGTAAGTGGTTGCTGTGGCCCATAGACATTTACATCTATCGTCGATTACGAATCACGACACATCAACAAATCAAGACAAATCAAGACGGAATGCCTCGTTTCCAGTAAAAAAGTGTCTCCGGTTCTCTACACTCACCGAACGAAACACAGCAGTGTTGAACTGCTATTTTACGCTGGTATTCTGTGAGATCGTGGCCCTCCCCCGGTCGATCCAACCCATTCGTGCTATAACCATACTAGGTACTATTATAGCTACAGCATGGCTCTACCACGTACTAGCTGAGAAAGAATAATAGACAAGAAGATAGACCCAAGCTGAGAGGCATTCCATCTAGTCCTCAGGAGTGACAACGCATCTGTAGCCTTATTTGTATAAAGTTGTCTCCTGGTGTCCATGGACTGCAATAGCCACTTACTATCAGGTGGACTATAAGTTCCTTTCTCACTTTAGTTTAATTAAAAAAAAGTGTGAATTAAACATGGTGTAGTAATTTATTAATAATAACAATAGATAATAATAATGTTTATTTATTAAGCTAGCAACCCATTTATATCTAGATGTACAATGTACATTTTGATTCAACAATGAACACTTTATTGTGTGTTAAAATATCATCCCTTATCGTATAAAAAATAATTAAATTAATAGTGGTCTATGCATCTTCTGGTAGTGTTTATAAAATCTATTGTCAGGAGACACGTATGCAACAACCTGAATTAATTTCATCTGTTGAGTTGCATACAGTTTCCCAAAAACTGGCCGTTCTATAACGTTCTGTATCTAACGCTGCAAAAAAGGCTGTGAAAGCAGCCTCTGCGAACGTTACGGACGCACTGCAGTATCGTATATGTTTCAAAAATTATGAAAAGCATCATCATACCGAGGATTTAATAGGATTTTTGGTGTAATTTATCCAAAATTGTCCGATTAAAAGCTAATGCAATATAATATATATAATAGCTCCATTAGCTCATATAATATATATAAACAGAGTAATAATTACAAACTCAAAACACAAAGCAAAGCGACGCGCCAGCATGTTGCAATGTGTGGTTCACGCTTTATATTCAAGTTGTGAATTAGGTTCTCTTCTCCGGCAACGTATGACTCAATTACTTAAACTTTTTACAGTCCAAATCTGCACTCCATTTGTGCGTACTAACGGTACCCGCCTCGGACCCTTTCCAGCATTTTAGTCTTAGATTTTCGCAAAGGCATATAAACTTTCTAAAACTGTTGATCCATGGGCTAAGGAGCACCATATTGTCCGCGTAACTAAGGTTAAAAGCTACACCATTAACATAGCATATCACTTATAAGCTCTTAGATCAAGCCGTTAACGTAAAGATTGAAAAGGTCCAGGGATTTCAGCCCTCCCTGACGTACCCTATATTCTAGTTTATAGCCACAAGAGGTTGTGTCGCCCCACCTAACTTTATTCGTTTGTTTCTCGAACCAGTATCTCAGCAAACCTAAAACCTACTGCCAGGGACATTGGTAGTCATGCCTTTTCCTCCATAATATAATTAACAAGGTCAAACTCAAGACTCAAGTTCAGAAAACAGGCGCAAACAGACGTACTACGTCTTTTATAATAGTTCACAGCGTGTTTAACTAAAAGTATTGCTGAAACGGCAGATACACCGGCACGAAAACTTAACTGAGCATATCTTCATATTCTTCACAAGTTCGGGCTGTCTTCTGAGAAGTCCTTCAAATTTTTATTCCTAGTCCTTAAAAACTTTACCTGCTATATTGCCTACAAAGATAGGTCGGTAATCGGAGATATTAGAGAGGTCAACGGTTTTCTTCTTAACGACAGGTATCTCAATCGTCTGTAATATTTTATCAGGAAGAGATGTATGTTTAACATATAGGTTAAAAACTAATTCTAGAGCATCAAATACTTTTTCGTCGGCATAGAGAATGTGCTCACTCAAGCCATCATACCCCGAAGACTTTCCACGCTTTATATTATGAACTGCTCTCGTGATAGATATCACTAGCGCAGAAGGTCAAAACTCCGCGGAGTTTTTTTATTTGCTCTATAAATGGCAAGGATGTTTATTCTTAACGTCTCTTGATTATTTTGGCATCATTTTAATTTATTTTTAATGACCCTACACGTCGTAAAATTTACCATTCGTCGGTTTTCCTGCATTTATCCATTCTTTAGTGCTTTTGCGTGTACATAATTCACGCACATGAAAGTTCCAGCCAGTGACTTGCCTCTTACCCTTTCGGCGACCTTACGAAACATTAGACGCATTTAATTACCTATTCAAAGCTGCACATTGTAAAATAAATAATATCATTATAAAACATGTCAATAAAATTTCGAGTACCTACCTTCATTTTTATCGCATTTAAATTATCACAATGCTCCCACAGGCTAAATTTCGGTAAATGAGCTAATTTCACAAAACAAAGTAATAATGAACATATAGTTTTTTTTAATTTCATCTGAAGTTTTGTGACCCCATATAATTGCACATGATATGTTGCAAACCCGTAACATTCATTGCTATGCAGATGACAGCACTGGTGACGCTCTTTACACCGGCCGAGCCAATATTTCTTGGGAAAACGTCTCCCGGTACCGGGACAAACTTGTGTCTGAAGTAAAGTCTTTGCTCAACAGAGTCTCGGATTGGGGGCAACTAAATCTAGTCCAGTTTAACCCTCAGAAGACAAAAGTTTACGCGTTAATCGCTAAAAAGAACCCCTTTGTCGAATCTCCTCAGTTTCAAGGCACTCCCCTTGTTGCCTCAGCCAGTATCGGAATCCTCGACGTCGACATATCGAGTGACGTGCAGTTTCGTGGTCACTTGGAAGAGAAGGCCAAATTAGCCTCTAAAAAGCTTGGCGTGCTCAGCAGAGCGGGACAGTATTTCATGCCGGCACACCGCCTGCAACTTTACAAGGCGCAGGTTCCCCCGCACATGGAATACTGTTCCCATCTCTGGGTTGGGGCTCCCCAGTACCAGCTCCTTCCACTTGACCGCATCCAGCGCAGAGCGCCTCGAATCGTCGACGACCTAGTGCTTTCCGATTGGCTCGATTCACTGGCACTGCGAAGAGATGTTGCATCTCTTTGCATTTTCTTTCGCATATATCATGGAGAGTGCTCTGAGAAATTGTTCGGATTAATCGTAGCTGCCAAATTTCGTGAACGCACTACGCGGCAAACGTCCCGATACCACCCACACTATCTGGATGCTTGGCGATCCACCACTGTACGTTTCAAAAGGAGTTTTCTTCCGCGTACAATCTCTCTGTGGAATAGTTTACCGTCGGCGATTTTCCCGGACCGAAACGACCTGGGGACCTTCAAGAAAAGAGCTTACTCCTTTCTAAAGGGCCGGCAACGCACCTGCAATTCCCCTCGTGTTGCGGTTGATCATGGGCGGCGGTAATCACTTAACATCAGGTGAGCCGCATGCTCGTTTGCCCCCTCTTCTTAAAAAAGTAGAATCCGTAAAAATCATTCCTATCATCATGTCTACAACTGGTGTAGTTCCAAAGACCCTTCAAACCAGCCTCAACATGATTCAAACGCCTAAATCTACTCTTACACTTATACAAAAAGCAGTCCTACTTAATACCTGTCGTCTCACACGCAAATTCCTTAACTCATCATCATCATCATTGTAAGTCTTTCTTTTTTCCTGCGTGCACACTTTGTAAAGGCCCGTATGTTCGTTTTCTACCCCTAAATACAGAGGAAGAATTAAAAAACAAATAAAAAGGTAATATAAACAATAATAACAATAATGGCGTAGGGAAGTGATGACCCCATCGCCCGCTGACGTAACGGTTATATGACAAAATCGCTACGTCAGCGCAGTCATTCAGATTGGCGTAGGGAAGTGACGACCCCATCGCCCGCTGACGTAACGGTTATGTGACAAAACCACTACGTCAGCGCAGTCAGTCAGCAACTTGCCAAGAGGTGTTAGTGACGTGCCTCGGCAAAAATTGAAGGTGCAAAGGCCCGCTTGTGTACATGGCCTCACCTTAAAACGGTGCCGGGCCTGGGCCTCTCCCGTTAAATGACGCCCACAAAAATGAATGATGGAATTGAATAGAACGCGCAAAGTGCCGCTGCCTGGGGGTCGCCAGGATGCGTCTGGAGCTGGCGCTGAACGCGACAGCATGCGAACCGCCAGCTGAGCGCGACTTGCTGCACGACCACCCAGCAGCGCCTCGCACCCATCATTCCCACCAGCTGGCTTGGTGTCGGCAGGGTCTTCGCAGGCCCTACAATCGGCACCCGCCACTGGTGGAGCACGCCGCATGCGTTGGACAACCCAGACGAACAGCAACGCATTGCGGGCGTATTTTGGGGCGAAAGGCGGAGAAATTGGAGGTTTTGCGTATTGGGCAAAGATGTATCAACTTTTTGCTGAGCTGGAGTCATCTGTAATCGTCACCGAGCAAAAGCTGGCAGACCGAGATCGGTATATCTTGCGCTCAAATACATTTGATGTCACCGAACTCGAACGGCTACGACGTGAGGCTGTTCCTTCATCGGATGAAAATGCTACGGCTGAGGATGCGGTGCCACAACTTGCAGAGGAACCGGCAAACGTGAATGTCGCCGTAAATATCCCAGTTGTGGTTGATTCAAACGATGATGGAACAGTCGCCCAGAAAATGGAACTAGAGCAAATGAGGAGTACATTGGAAGATGCTATTGTGGAAACGCGCATTACGCATTACACGAAAATTGACCGCGACTTCCCCGCATAGCCCTAAGCAAGCAGAATCGGGCTATCGTAAGGACTCTGAACCCAATGCTGGTGACCTATTTGGAAGCCAACCGGAACCTTTGCGAGACTGATTCAATTATTTTTGGCACCGCACTGGCAGTCTCGCGTATTATAGCTGCTAAACTTTCCACGGCTGGACACGCTACTGGATAAAGTAGTGCTATCCCAGCCTGGAGAATAAGAATTAAAGAACGTATCGCAAAGGCTAGAGCCCTCACCGGCAGACTGATATGCTTCAGGTCAGGCAATACTAGGCCAAGGATTGTGCGCAACGTCAGGATGGCGTTTGCTGGGACAAATGGTAGTTTTTCCCAGCCGGATATAATGCAAAAACTGACGGAGTGCATAGACGACCTGAAGCAGAGAATCGCTGCTTGGGGAAAGTGGATTCGGCGATATACTGATAGGTCGACACGGTTCAACCAGAATCGTCTCTTCCAGAATGATCAGAAGAGGCTCTATAAATCATTGGAGCGACCAATAGTACGTGGAACGGGCCCAGCACCGAATCAGGCCGACACTGTCGTATTCTGGCGCGGCCTGTGGTCAGAGCCCGTAAACCACAGCGAAGGCCCTTGGAAGGAAGTTGAGGTGAGTCAGTGTGCTGGTATTACGCCCATGGACCCCTTCATCATAACGCCGGATGACGTAGCTGAGGCGGTCCGTAGGGCCCCGAACTGAAAAAGTACGGGGCTTGACGGGCTGCATCACTACAGGTTGAAGGGGTTCGTGGTGTGTCACGCTGTGCTCGGCCGACAGTTTCAAGAAGCTCTCAACCAGAAGTCTCCCCGAGCCTCTTCACTACTGGGATCACTCATTTGGTTCCTAAGGACCAGGGTAACACAGATCCGAGCACACCATCACGTGTCTACCGACCATATACGAGACACTAACATCCATTTTGAGCGCGAGAATTACTCGTCACCTGGACTCTAATCAGGTGATGTCGCGCGCTCAAAATGGATGTCGGGGCGGCGGTTGCGAAACCAAGGAACCACTCCTCATTGACGCGGTTATTGGCAAAGTGGTGAAACGCAACCATCGGAACTTCTCCGCCGCCTGGATAGACTACAGAAAGGCATTCGACTCGGTGCCCCATACATGGCTAAAGAGCTGTACAAGATTGACTGTACAGTTGGAGACTTCCTCGAGTAGTGTATGGGGCAGTGGAGTACGATCCTCTGTCATCTAGGCGGGCGGTGATGGCTGCGGAAACCCGCATAAGGATAAGAAGGGGTATATTCCAGGGCGACTGTCTGAGTCCAATCTGGTTCTGCCTCTCTTTGAACCCTCTCAGTATTTTACTGGAGGGCTCCGGGAGGGGATTTCAGCTTCGGAAAGGAGGTACAAAAGTGACCCACCTTTTTTATATGGATGACCTCGAGTTATTTGCCTCCAGTCGCTCCCATCTTATGGAATTGCTAAACATCACTTGTGAATTTAGCAATTCTATTGGAATGGAGCTGGGGACGGATAAGTGTGCGGTCCTCTATGATGAAAAGGGAAGGGTTTCTAACTCTGAGGGCATAGACTTATCTATGCCCATCAACTTAAGGACCCTTTCGGAGGCTGAAACATACCGATACCTGGGTATGTCACAGAACATCGGTATCGATGAGGCTGGTATGAAACAGTCAGTTTGCGACGTGTTTTGTGCACGCTTGACCAAAGTGCTTAACAGCCTTTTGTCTGGTGTGAATAAGACACACGCATAATATAATGATTGGGCCATGCCTGTCCTCATGTATACCTTTGGCATACTCAGGTGAACTCAGACTGAACTTAACGCCCTGGATAGAAAAAACCGCACTACTATGACGTCCCATAGGATACATCATCCGAGATCGTCGGTAATGAGGCTGTACTTGCCGCGAAAGCATGTTGGGCGTGGCTTTTTGAGCGCGCTCATCATGCATAATCGCGAAGTGTGCAGCCTCCGTAAATACTTAATTTTTTTTTAATTTTTTTATTTAATATATTATTACATTCATTAATTACACATTACGTTACGGTACAATCATAAGTTTATAGAAACTTTACCGTGTACCGGTATCACCGACAATAACAAATATGAGGGTGTAGTAAGAAAAAAGAAATACACTTAGTATTTATTAGTTAATTGCGTAACCTTCTATTGCATAATGCACCGCGCATGGATCCTATATTTTATACAGGGCGCTTGTTTTAGGGCGTTACCGTAGTATTTATTATTAAAACATATAATGTATAATTTAAATTATTAGTAATGCATTTCGTAAAGTATTTTTTTTTTAATTTTAATTTAATATTTTTTTTGATTTAGTTCTGATTTTACTGATATTGGTAGCTGGTTAATTAGGTTAGGAATCATATATTCTAAGGTACGTTTATCATATAAATTATTTAGGTAAGGCTAGTTTAGGTTTTCCTGAGTTGCGAGTTTTAGAGTATTCACATGTATGTGCAATTTTTAACTGTTCATGGAAAAAATCTTCTATAAGAAAAGTGGCGAAGCTTTCATTAAAGCTGAAAAGCCGGGCTGGCCTTATTAAACCTGAATCAATTAATAATATCAATCAATAATATCAACTAATAAAATAACTCGTAAAATGTTTCAAGCTATTTCAAATTTCCCGCGCACTCCACTGTTCGACACATGTCGACCGATGACCTCGTATTGCCTTAAGCGGGCTACATACGACACGATATCGGTGGCGATCTAGGGTGGAGTAGTGGGGATGCCTCCTAGATTGCCTCTAAATCGTGTCGTATGTAGGGCCATCCTAAGTCGTGGCCGATATCGCCTCCTTGATCGGCTGGCAGGAGCAAAAAATGCTTCCTAGATCAGCCGATGCTTCCTAGATCGGGGCACCGCCCCTCCTTACTGCGTGTGTGTAGGCGCATCGGCCCGATTTCTTTTGGCAGTCGCTGCCGGCAACCCTCGCGAAAGGAAGTTAACAAAACAGTGATACTGAATGACCTTTTTTATATAACAAAATTTTTACATTTTAATCATATAAACGGAGTAGAAGCCTATGGCACTGATATTTTACAAGAAACCAAAAAAAGTGAATAAAATAAATAAATTAATTGAAATTTTATCGAAATTCAAATCATATCCACCCTAGCCTGTGACCCTGCGAAGTGACATGGTCAAGAATGCCTACTAAACTAATTTTTTTATTGCCGTTCGTAAAGTAGAATGTATGATGTAAGTAAGGAGAAGATAAAGCCTCTCCTCAAGAACTAACTCCTATTCCAACGCTATCAACACAAGACCGCACTCATATCTCTTAAAACTCCACAAGACCACACTTCGATCTCTTACGTGCCTTCATCCTCTTATCAACAACTAACTTCTACTCCTTCACCATCTCCACATCAACAAACAAGTTATATAAAAGGGAGTATGTCCGAAATTAAAGGTTTCTTTATGTTTAAAAAAAGATATAAGCTATTTTATTTTCTGATAGTTTTACTCCATAAATAAAGATTACATAAAAAAAAAGTATACATATTATTATACAAATGTATTTTATTTCCTTGTTTGTTGTGTGTAATACATAACCAGATTTTGACCAAAGCAGAAATGAACAAAGAGAAGAAATAACTAAATAGCATAGGTAGGAGAAATTGACGTTTTTATATAAGTGGCGAAATCATTTCTAGAAGGTTATAAAAACTGTCTTCATCCATCTGGAGAAAATTAATCACGTCCTTGGATTACATGCCATTTAGTACGTTTATGTGGCTTAATTTTTATCTCTTTTGGAGCCATTTTTTCACCCAGCAACTTCTCTTTTTCTATTTTCGAATAAATTAACCGAGATGGCTAATGCCAAACCAACACGGTGGTGTTTTAAGAGAGTCGGATGTATTTTGAAGAACTCTACCGCATATGCATTCCGCTCCAAGTCCGAACGCATACTGCTAGGCAGGCCCGTGTGTAAGGTCTACCCCGATAAAAGCCCCGATTTCTTTCCACCCTAGATCGCCACCGATATCGTGTCGTATGTAGCCCGTTTAAGCGATACTGACATAAAAATGCGTTTTAATAGAGCTAATAGTTGTCTCCCTCGCTCGCGTGGGCTTTTTACGGGACTTTCGAGAAGACGATCGCTCTCTTTCTAACCTATGGCAAAATATTCTATAATAAAATATAACTACGATTGTATATATAGCAATTAGTATAGAGATTTAAAAGCCAGGCTTTTGGGAATAAATTTGTTAAAAGCGGAGGCGCGCGTGCAATACGTTTACAAGTTCATTTCAAACGGTAGTTTTTCCCAGCCGGATATAATGCAAAAACTGACGGAGTGCATAGACGACCTGAAGCAGAGAATCGTTGCTTGGGGAAAGTGGATTCGGCGATATACTGATAGGTCGACACGGTTCAACCAGAATCGTCTCTTCCAGAATGATCAGAAGAGGCTCTATAAATCATTGGAGCGACCAATAGTACGTGGAACGGGCCCAGCACCGAATCAGGCCGACACTGTCGTATTCTGGCGCGGCCTGTGGTCAGAGCCCGTAAACCACAGCGAAGGCCCTTGGAAGGAAGTTGAGGTGAGTCAGTGTGCTGGTATTACACCCATGGACCCCTTCATCATAACGCCGGATGACGTAGCTGAGGCGGTCCGTAGGGCCCCGAACTGAAAAAGTACGGGGCTTGACGGGCTGCATCACTACAGGTTGAAGGGGTTCGTGGTGTGTCACGCTGTGCTCGGCCGACAGTTTCAAGAAGCTCTCAACCAGAAGTCTCTCCCGAGCCTCTTCACTACTGGGATCACTCATTTGGTTCCTAAGGACCAGGGTAACACAGATCCGAGCACACCATCACGTGTCTACCGACCATATACGAGACACTAACGTCCATTTTGAGCGCGAGAATTACTCGTCACCTGGACTCTAATCAGGTGATGTCGCGCGCTCAAAATGGATGTCGGGGCGGCGGTTGCGAAACCAAGGAACCACTCCTCATTGACGCGGTTATTGGCAAAGTGGTGAAACGCAACCATCGGAACTTCTCCGCCGCCTGGATAGACTACAGAAAGGCATTCGACTCGGTGCCCCATACATGGCTAAAGAGCTGTACAAGATTGACTGTACAGTTGGAGACTTCCTCGAGTAGTGTATGGGGCAGTGGAGTACGATCCTCTGTCATCTAGGCGGGCGGTGATGGCTGCGGAAAGCCGCATAAGAATAAGAAGGGGTATATTCCAGGGCGACTGTCTGAGTCCAATCTGGTTCTGCCTCTCTTTGAACCCTCTCAGTATTTTACTGGATGGCTCCGGGAGGGGATTTCAGCTTCGGAAAGGAGGTACAAAAGTGACCCACCTTTTTTATATGGATGACCTCGAGTTATTTGCCTCCAGTCGCTCCCATCTTATGGAATTGCTAAACATCACTTGTGAATTTAGCAATTCTATTGGAATGGAGCTGGGGACGGATAAGTGTGCGGTCCTCTATGATGAAAAGGGAAGGGTTTCTAACTCTGAGGGCATAGACTTATCTATGCCCATCAACTTAAGGACCCTTTCGGAGGCTGAAACATACAGATACCTGGGTATGTCACAGAACATCGGTATCGATGAGACTGGTATGAAACAGTCAGTTTGCGACGTGTTTTGTGCACGCTTGACCAAAGTGCTTAACAGCCTTTTGTCTGGTGTGAATAAGACACACGCATAATATAATGATTGGGCCATGCCTGTCCTCATGTATACCTTTGGCATACTCAGGTGAACTCAGACTGAACTTAACGCCCTGGATAGAAAAAACCGCACTACTATGACGTCCCATAGGATACATCATCCGAGATCGTCGGTAATGAGGCTGTACTTGCCGCGAAAGCATGTTGGGCGTGGCTTTTTGAGCGCGCTCATCATGCATAATCGCGAAGTGTGCAGCCTCCGTAAATACTTAATTTTTTTTATTTTTTATTTTTTTATTTAATATATTATTACATTAATTAATTACACATTACGTTACGGTACAATCATAAGTTTATAGAAACTTTACCGTGTATCGGTATCACCGACAATAACAAATATGAGGGTGTAGTAAGATAAAAGAAATACACTTAGTATTTATTAGTTAATTGCGTAACCTTCTATTGCATAATGCACCGCGCATGGATCCTATATTTTATACAGGGTGCTTGTTTTAGGGCGTTACCGTAGTATTTATTATTAAAACATATAATGTATAATTTAAATTATTAGTAATGCATTTCGTAAAGTATTTTTTTTTAATTTTAATTTAATATTTTTTTTGATTTAGTTCTGATTTTACTGATATTGGTAGCTGGTTAATTAGGTTAGGAATCATATATTCTAAGGTACGTTTATCATATAAATTATTTAGGTAAGGCTAGTTTAGGTTTTCCTGAGTTGCGAGTTTTAGAGTATTCACATGTATGTGCAATTTTTAACTGTTCATGGAAAAAATCTTCTATAAGAAAAGTGGCGAAGCTTTCATTAAAGCTGAAAAGCCGGGCTGGCCTTATTAAACCTGAATCAATTAATAATATCAATCAATAATATAAACTAATAAAATAACTCGTAAAATGTTTCAAGCTATTTCAAATTTCCCGCGCACTCCACTGTTCGACACATGTCGACCGATGACCTCGTATTGCCTAAGCGATACTGAGCATAAAAATGCGTTTTAATAGAGCTAATAGTTGTCTCCCTCGCTCGCGTGGGCTTTTTACGGGACTTTCGAGAAGACGATCGCTCTCTTTCTAAACTATGGCGAAATATTCTATAATGAAATATAACTGCGATTGTATATATAGCAATTAGTATAGAGATTTAAAAGCCAGGCTTTTGGGAATAAATTTGTTAAAAGCGGAGGCGCGCGTGCAATACGTTTACAAGTTCATTTCACGTTTCAATGTTTATTTACCCTGTGTGCTTATCTTAAGCGATTTAATGTTACGACTTCAAAATTTATGCTTTTTTAAAGATTTTTAATGAAAATGGAGGATAATAGTGTTCCTTGTGATGAATTGAAGTGTGTTAAAGTGATAATCGGAGAGGAAATCTTTAAACTTTGTTGAGATAATACAAAAGGTTAAGAGTGTGTTTCGGACTTATCAATTATCGCAATTAAAAACAGTTATTGGTATAATTAAAACGTTCACCAACATTTTACGTGGACGTAATTAAATCTTTCCATAAGAAAGCGAGACGATTCCACTTATCTTATCTTATCTCTTATCCATTAGAATGTAAATAATTTTTTTTTTAATTTTGTACATAGTTTATTTGTACTTTGTTCGTGTTTTACTTTTGTTCATGTATTGTATTGGACGTAAATATTTTTTTCTTTCGCTTAAACAAACCCAAACGGCTTTCTTCAAAGCCACCGAAGCTATGCAATTGCTGATATGTAATACAATCTATCTAGCAGTGGTATGCCTTCTATGTGCTTTGTTAAACACGTCCTTGACAGCACTGAATATGAAACTGAAGCGTGGAGACAGATCAAGATTGGTGTATTTTTATAAAACTGCTAAAAACAACAATCTATATTTTTATCAATTTATATCTTGGGCTTGCCCTAGCTTGGAGCTCTAGCTTCGCCACTGTATAAGAAGGGTAAACTTTACCTTTTCGTATATAGGCATAATTTTGCAATGACTAAAAAGGTTGTGGTAATCTGATTCTTTATACTGGTTTTTAATACTGTTCCCATCTCTGGGCTGAGGCTCCCCAGTACCAGCTCCTTCCACTTGACCGCATCCAGCGCAGAGCGGCTCGAATCGTCGACGACCGAGTGCTCTCCGATCGGCTCAATTCACTGGCGGCTGAATAAACATATACATGTTATTAAAAATTCATGATTGGAAAGTTTTTAATATGAATACTTTACAAACATATATTTAAATTAGGTTAGGTTCCCCGGTTAAAACTAACTTCGTGTCCTAAAGGAAAATAGCTACTTACGATTTGACAGCGCTTACCGCTTACGATCGCCATTTTGCTTACAAGCGCTTCCTAGAGCTTTTTTCTGCCAAACGCAGCCATTGATACGTTTACTATTATTTCTAAATTTGCCCACATGAAATTTACTTAGTAAAAGTTAAAAATGTAATAAAATAAACAGATAAATAAACATAAAATATATACATATATTTAAAGTACAACCTTGATAAAATTACGCATTCCTAAAAATACAATATACTTTGTAATAAATAGAAATTTTCAAACATGTACTAAAAGATTTACAATTAATTATATAGTATCGTCAGTTTTAAATTGTTATATTCTTATCAAAATCATTATAATTTGCCAGGACAATCTCAGCTCTGACTTTTTCAGTGACTGTCAGGGTCTAACAGGGCCTATAATATCCACTATATAATACGAAACACCAACAAAATTATAACCTATAGATGGCTAATAAACATATTTGAGCATTTAAATGTTTTTATTACTTTATACTTACGAACCCATAGGAGATCAAGGGCCCTCCATAGAATCCTACATCCGGCACTGAGTACACCTGACGGGATGTGTCGTAATCTATCGAACGCTTCCCAGCCGTGTTGAATCCGTTTATTGACTTCTCGGTCGAAGTTGGACATAACTAGTCGGACTATTTGTTTCAGGTAAACATACTCGTTAACAACTTCGAGCTTAGTGCTCCCAACAACCACCGGTACAGTTGCGACATGGACGTTACAAATTATATTTGTTTTGTCCATGTTGATCTCAAGACCTATGCGTTGATAGACACTATTGAGATCATTGAGCATAGTGCTTCGGTCCTCCAGCGATTCCGCCATAAGTATTATCGAAGGTGAGTGATGTACTCGCTGATGGATTTTCCATCAATCTTAAAGTACCTCCAAATGCTGAATGTACTTTCAACTCAGTTTTATACTTACTATTGATTTATTGAACAGTGCACTATTTTAAGTTATAATACCGGTGAAAACAACTAGACAATCACTTTCAGTTTGTTTTTAGATTATTGTGATATTCATATTTTAAATGTAAATTTTTCAGTATTCCCGTTAAATGCGGTAAACTAATATTATTATTTAAATAAACCAATATGCATTTTATTAACTACGCCACAATTTGTGGTGGGCCCATTCTACATACAAAAAGAAATTGTCTCCTTTACTAATACTTTAGATAAGAAGGCGAAGATGGGTCATTTAATATGGAAAAAAGTACAAGCAATATTCTGGAATTGCGCCTCTGCCGGATTGTAAGCCAATTTAGCTTAGATCTTTATTACGAAATATGTTCATACTTACAAAGTCCGAAAATAAATCTTATACAGTTATTGAGAAGGCGTTTCAGCTTGTTCAGAAGATACATAAACATAAACATAAACACTCACGCCTGTCACCCAGAGGGGTAGGCAGAGACTACAGACTTCCATTTGGCACGATCCTGACACACCTCTCTTGCCTCCTTCACATCCATACACCTAAGCATACATGCTCGTCGGTTAAGGGTACTCCTAATTTGGCCCGTTTTCAATAAATCGCCAATTTGGTCGATAAATTTTCGCCTAGGACGTCCCTTTCCGACTCTGCCATTCACTTCTGCACCATAAATTTTCTTTGTCACTCTTTCCTCATGACCAAACCAACGAAGCATTCCTTTCTTAATCCTGGTCACAACATCATCTTG